AACATAAAATAAAACAATCATAACATAAAATAAAACAGTCATAACATAAAATAAAACAATCAACATAAAATAAAACAATCATAACATAAAATAAAACAATCAACATAAAATAAAACAATCATAACATAAAATAAAACAGTCATAACATCATAACATAAAATAAAACAGTCATAACATAAAATAAAATATAACTCCGTTCTACATAAAAGCTTCTTGCTGTTAAGGCAGATGTCTAAGCTTAAGTCCGTGTTGACCAGGTCTGACCTGGCTGGACTACTATAACGCACTTTTGTGGTCAGTCAGGTTTCCCTTTCACATCTTCAGCTCGTCCAACATGCTGCAGCTTGGCTCTTAACGGGAGCTCCAAGGTTTGAGCACATTTCACCAGTTTTGTCCTCCCTTCACTGGCTCCCTGTGTACCTCGTACATCTCTGACCCACTTCAACCATATGTTCCTTCTCGGGCGCTGACAACATCTGACAACAAGCTGAAGCTCAGAGGAGATCGAGCTTTTCATTCATTGGCCCCAAACTCTGCAACAATCTGCTACAGGCCACTTCACTTCCTGTTTTTAAATCCGTTCTAAAAACACCTGTTTTCACTGATGCGATTTGATTTAGTATTTCATTGTTGCATTGTTTTTGTGTTTTTATGTTTTTATTTTTGATGCTTTAATTACATCTTGGGTTTTTTTTGCCCTTTAATTACAACTGCTGTTTTAAATGTGCTTTATACATAAATTTAACTTGAACATAAAATAAAACAATCATAAAATAAATTCATTACATAAAATAAAATTAACAACATTTTTACATCTGAATGTCATTAATTTAACTTTAAAAATAAATATTTTAAAATCTGTTTGAATTTATAATTAAATCAGTTTTAAAGATTTTTTCAGTTTTTTTTTTTACTTTAATAAATCATTTAAAGAATGAATTAAAAACTAAAAAAATGGAGCTGAGTGAAACAAAAACTTTTAATTTATAAATATGAGCTGGTTTTTGAGTCAAAACCAATAAAAAGTAAAAGTTCTGAGTTGGATCTGAACAAACGATGACTGCTTTGGGAAAATATTTTTTACATTTTTACTTAGAAACAATAATAATAATAATTTATATATTATTATGAACCTACACATTATTTATATTATATACTGTATCATTTAGTATATAATAATAATTTTCCTGTTTCTGTTTGTTTCAGCGGCACTTTAATGCTTCAGTTGGATGGTTTTCCTACTGGAGACGGTGTTCAGGTAAACGTCCAGAACCACAAACTGACAGAACCACCCAGAACTCTGATCCAAATGTTCAGACTCTCTTAAAACTAATTCAAACTGACAGAAACTGACGGAACCAACCAGAACCAAGGTTTAAACAGACCGAACCACACAACTGCAACCTAAACTTACAGTACCAGACAGAACCTCAGTCCATCTCTCAGAACCACACAGAACTATGATCCAACTCTGAATCACTCTCAAAACCACATCCCAAAGTGCCAGAACCAGACTGAATCAAGGTTTAATGCTACAGTACCATACACAGAATCCCACAGAACCACTGTCAGACTCAGAACCACACAGAACCGAGGTCCAGATTTTGAGTGGTGATACAGCTAAATGTTCTGCTTGTGATGGAACGTGGGCCGCTCTAACGGTGGAGTGGTTCTGCTGGTCCGACCAGTTCCTGTTTGAACTTTACAGGAAGCTGTCAGCATCACACAGGAAGTCCTAATATGGTAACTGCGTATGTGTGTTCAGGCTGATCGATCGGCTGGCAGACTGACTGGATCCATGATGGAACTACAGACCTTACAGGAGGCTCTGAAGGTGGAGATCCAGATCCATCAGGTGGGTCAGGTGTTCAGAACTTTTTCTTCCAGCAGAACCAACAGGAAGTCTCAGCTGCTCTAAACTGAGGTTCATTCCAGGGCTTTAGAAGAAGGTTTTCAAATTTGATTTTTATTGTTTTCAAAGCACCACAGTCCCTGAAATGTTTACAGAACACTGCTGGTTCTGATCCAACAGAACCTGCAGACTGAAACAGAAAGAGGCTTGTTTTAGGCGAACAAAAACAATCAAATAAAGAAATAAAGTGTTTTCTGACTTCAGATGTGGTTAGTTTGGTCTGAACATGAAAGGAAACAAGGTTTCTGTCTGAGTTCTGTTAAGAAAAAGTCCAGAACATTTTTCACCAAAAGAAGTAAAAACTGAACCGTCTCCATTAAAGTTCTGATCATGAACAAAAAAAAAACAACTTTTTGTTTTACAAGAAAAACTTTAAGAGCAGAAAAAAACATTCAGAACTTTTACTAGTGAAATAAAGTTGTAACAATATATTTTTTATTTACTTTATGGTTTTATTAAAAAAAGAAACAGTAATTTAAAATCAGAGTAGCTTCTTGTCTGGACCGGTTCTCCACCTGCTGTAGGTCCAGTTCTGACCAGCAGATGGCGCTGTTAACTTTGCTTTTCTGTTTTCCTGCAGAAACTTGTGGCTCAGATGAAGCAGGATCCTCAGGTAAACCCAGCTGATGTTTTCCCCACTTCAGTGTACGGGTTCTGATCCAGTTCTGCTCAGATTTAACCAGTTCTTCTGTTTCAGAACGCAGATCTGAAGAAGCAGCTCCACGAACTTCAGGCGAAGATCACGGCGCTCAGCGAGAAGCAGGTAGATGAAGAAGAGACGACCATGAGTTGTCTACAAAAACACGGATCGTGTACCAAAATTCATTAAAACAATTGTTTTAATTCAGCAATCTGTAATTTAACAACTCAACAGCTCAGATTAATTAAATCCACTAACGACCAGAGAGTTTAAAGAAACTAAAACATCTGGACAGCTTGGAGAAATTTATAAAAAAATTAATTAAAAGAAATACTAATGGAAATCTTGGAGATATTTAAAACCACAGAACAACCAGAGAGTAAAGATCATTTTAATATCTGAAAAACAGCCGTAGAGTTTAGTGACATTTAAAACAACCGGAGAGTTTAAATAAATTTTCCATTTAAAACAACTGTAGGGTTCAACACATATAATGCCACAAAAACTACCGGACAGCTAGATTCAACCAATTCAATTCAATCGGATAGCTCTGAGAAATTTAAAATAAGATAATAAGATAAGATAGAACTTTATTGATCCCGCAGGAAATTGTTGAAAATTTAAACTAATTGGACAGCTCAAATACATTTTCCATTTAACTGTAAGACATGTATTTATGTACAAAAACAACCAGATATCTTCGGGGGGAAAAAGTATTTTAAAAACTAATGAATAACTTTAGGATATATCCTGATGCATGCTCAATAATCCAGGTAGAAAAATCTAACAAAGTTAAGTCAGGTCCTCTGGACGGATTAAATAATTTAATTTAAAAAAATCAAAAACTTGTTGAAACGTTTCGTCTTTTATCCAAAAGACTTGGTCAGTCTGAGGAGCTGTAATAAACTCAGTCTTATAAATAGCACCTTCTCATAGTGGATCAACCAGTTTGTTGTTGACATCCAGAACTAGCTGTTCACATGATAAAGGAGGACCATCAGCCTTTTTATTTGATTTATTTTAATTAGAGCACAGGAAGTCCTTTGCAGAGTATAAATTAACTTTTTATTTTTATTTTTTTGCCAGACTGACGTGTGCAAACATGTTTAATAATTTATTACTTGTCGTCACCTTCATGAAGGGGCGGTGTCTTTTCTCTCTGCTGCTCACACCTGAGCTCACCTTGAACCAGACAGCAGGCCCCGCCCTGCTCTGCTCCGATTGGGTCAACCTGTGGTTCTGGTTCTGTTAAAGCGGCATCAGTTGAGTTCCTGTATCATCAGTTAGGTTGGATGGATTTAAAAGGACCACAACAAAACACTTTTTCTTCCCCCTCCTCATTTTTACAGATGATGGGAATCCGTCGCCGCGATGGAGAACTTTTATCCATGCGAATAGTTTGTTAAAATTTAAAACCACAAAATAAGTAAAGGAAACTTTTCAATTAAAACAACTGGAGAGCTTGAGGAAATTTAAGATTTGAGAAAAATGTAAATGGAGACTTTAAAGTAAACTACAGGAAATGATACATTTAATGTATAAAAAAAACCCAACAAAAAACAGATTACTTAAAGAAATCAGGAAAAAAAAAAAAAACAACTTGTGAAAATTTTATACAACAAAAACAAGCGGATGGATAAATTTATTACCACTGTTAAAGTTTAAAATCACAAAACAACCGGATAACTTACGGTACATACATTTTCCATTAAAAACATCTGGAGAACTCTTGGACATTTACAACCACAAAAAAACATCCAGATAAATTTGAGAAATGTGTAAATAAAGAATTTAAAATAAATGTATCAGGAAAAAAAAACTAGGACTTAAGAAAATTTAACACTAAAAAAAACAACCAAGTAACAAATAAATTTTCTATTTAAAACAATCAGAATATAGCTGGATAAATTTAAAACTACATAAACAAATGAAAAAAAACAAAGAATGCTGTATTTTTTTCATTTTTATTCATTTAAAATCTCTCGGCAGGTGAAAAGATTCTTATTTGTTAGGACTTTGCTTTTATGGGTTGTGTTTATTTTTTAATGCTGGTGATGTAAATATGTGTTTTTAAATGGATGACATAAAAATGTTTTTTATAGAAACTGAAGGATTCAGAGCCACAGAACTTCTGAGCACTCAGGACGTCGACGCGTCGTCTTTGTTGTTTCCATGTTTGTTTTTGTCTCGGTTCTATTTCGAACTACTTTCACTGCTCTTTCTATTTTGGTCAGCTCCCTGCAGGTTTTATTGTTCGCTCTTCTTCTGATTCGTGATGTGCTTTCAGGTACGCGTGGACTCCAATAAGCTCCTCAGCTTTTGATGAGAATTTGAGCCTGTTTGAGGCGGAACGCAGCGTTTGCTGCTGAAATAAATGCAGATTTCACACCGACTGTTATCTGGTGCTGAGCTGCAGGCGAAGCCGTCTTTAACACCAATCGTGACGATCAGTCTGATCAGATTCAGGCGTTTCTGTGTTTTGGATTTTAAATCTCAAGATTCTGTTTCAAGTTTTCTTTTGTCCCGAATCCTCCATTGTTCTCACAGAGTTTCATCTTTATATTTTTGGTTTGTTCCAGCTGTAGTTGGTGGCTCTTGGTAAGATTTCTGGTGTAGTTTTTCTGCTCTCCGAAAGCTTTGTCACATCTCTGCTGCTCTCTGAGGTCACGTAGACGATGCGTTGGTGTAATTTGGTTGAGTGGTCCTTGAAAGGAGGTCAAACTGCTCCTCTCCGCTCTGTTTTTTGTGTTTTAGCTGCTTTGAGTTTCAGCCGGAGAGTGGAGTGTTGCTAAGCTTTAGCTGGGCTTCATCCTCCGAATGAGAGCTTTGTGTTCTTGACGTTCTGCCTCTGAGCTGGGGAACGTCAGAGCTCATCGTTCTAGTTCTACCACTTCCAGCTGTTTCCCGTTTATTTTTCTTATTTTTTTATCTGCTTTATTGATCCTTTCACAGGAAATGTTTCTGCTAAATATGACAAAACAAAAAATGTTACAATATGTCAGGCAAAAAAAAAATCATGCCTTTTGAAAGAAGGACAAATTACATTAATGTCTCTGTTTGCCCATAACTTCTGATCCAGTCAAGACCATTGAATGAAATTTCATACACATATCATCACTAGACGAAGTGTCGCATACACTTTTCATGACCATAGCTCCAAGGTCACAAATCAAGGTCAGAGGTTATATGATGTCTTTGCTAGTCTGTATAATGCTATACTCTTGTTTATCTTTATTTTATAAACATTTTTCTCCATCCAGCAATATCAATCTTTACTCCAAGAAAATGTTTCCCTTTTTTCTATCAAGATGAACTTTAAAAGAACTAACTTTAAGAAACAACACTGTGAAGTGCTGTACACTGATAAAAGAATGAAGTCGAAACTCATAACAAACAGCTAAAGCAATAAAATAAATTAACAGTAATGTACAATAAATGGGTAAAATTTTCAAAAACAATAAAAGCCAACATCTTAGGCCAAGTTAAAAGGCAAAAAGAAAAAAAAAGTGTTAAGACATTTTTTACAGATGAAGTCGGAATAAAATTTTTATTTTTTAGGTTTTAGATTTCAAGTATTTAAAAAAAAACAAGTTGTGATACCAGGTTTTAAAGTGAGAATAGAAGCAACCTCCATTTTCATCAGTTTGGTCTCAGACAGAAAACTTATTGAATCTTACAGATCAAGTTTCGCTTCATTTTTTTTGTTGTTTTCAAGTTAGGTTTAGTTTTTCTGAGTTGCTGCTGCCCTCAGGCCATGTGCATGCAAAAAACAGTTTTTCCACAG